CGATCCTGGGGCAAAAAGTTAGAGACACCTTTGATCATCGTAAATCTGCACCCATGTAACATTTAATTAATATTTAATTATCATTATATTTACAGGCATTTTAACAATAATTTTTATTTTAGTGCCCGCTTTAAAAACTGAAAAATGCTTCTGTATCAGTTATTTAGATACAAATGGTATAAAATATCTCTTGTACTACTTTCAAGAGTTGTTGTTTGGATTTGTTTGGACGGTATGTATACAAGTTTGATGTGTAGTCTTCCTACTCCATGTATGCACTTACTCTCTTTTGTGATGTATTTTATTCAACTTTTTAAAAATAATTAAATTGTCTGTATCTTTTGGAGTAAAATGAAATGTTCTCTCTTCATGCTAATTTTGAATTTGTGTTTCATTCATTTTTCTTTGTTTTGTACTGTCTTTTATATGGAATATAAGGAGAAAATGAACAATATTCAATCTCAAAAGTCCATTAAACAAACAATACAAAACTGGAGCAGAGCAAACACAAACCTCCAAAACATCAGAAATGGGATCAGGTGCCATGGAGGAGTTTGCATTCCCTACTGTAAGCTCCTTATCATGATCGGGAAATAACGGATAAATCCGTCGTCAATACAGTGTGTAAATAATGGCCTGATAATTAGTATGAAAAACGCCAGTCAGCATTTGACCTAATGATTAAGTGTATTTGCTGACAAGGTCATTGTGTCAACCATAGAACTTCGAAATGGTGACTTTAAACAATATATTCTTGTTTCAGCAACTAATTTGGCAATAATTTACCTCGCTTTAGAAATTGTTCATACGTAGAACATATACTCTTGCGTGCAGGTGATGAAGGTATATCGCTGCATAAGTAAGGAAAGTTGACGATTGAAAAGTTAGTCATCACATTTATCATAAAACTTGGTTAATGTCTTTTCAAGTAAAATATCCAAATATGAAACAGATGTGTCAGGCTCTGTGGTATCTTTTATTTCAAGCTCACCGGGATATATCGTATCGACATAAAAATGGAAATAACCACTGTTTATTGACAATATGTCGTAGATATACAATGTATCTAAATGTCGAGTTGAAGGTCAAAGCAAGTGTTTTCTTCTTTACACGAATAAGATTTTGGCAAATTCTGCTTTGAACATGTGAATACAAAAGAATTTTTTTATATGGTAGGGTTAATTTCTATATAAAGGTTGTCGTAGATTTACAAAGCCTAAAAGTACGGAAGAATGATACGAGCATATACGTGTATATCACCCGACTGTTAAAGGTTGTTCCTAAATACATCAAAATGTTTTGAAAATAACAAAAATTGTTACAAAAGGACACTATTTGGACATGATAAGCAGCAAATCAAATTAGTTTTTACTTAAGAGTTAGATAAGTGATATTTTATAAGTCATTCCTGTAAACAAAAATTACACAAGGCAAGAGATTTCGAAATTGTCTAAAAATAAAACATCAGTTATTTTATTAAAACTTCTTTTGAAATTCATATAAGTTAGTTCAGTGATCTTCTTTTGTATTATTAAATCTAATTATTATTTAAATCGATTTAAACAAGAAATAGCAATGTTCATCCTAGTGTATGGGAGGGCCCAATAATACATGCATGATAATATGATTGCATTGATCTATAATCGTGTCATAAATAAGGGATGTATTTCTAATCATCCCTCTGTCTATATTTAATTTTTTTAACATGAAACTAATATATTTGACACACATCTGATATTTCAGTACCCATGAATACATGTACATGATAATGTGCTAGTACTGATCTACTGTATACTCAAGTCATAAATAACAGTTGTTTTTACCATCACCCCTCTATCTTTATTTAGTTTCAATTTATCAGTACCCACAAAAAATGTACATGATAATGTGATTACATTGATCTATGTTTATGTAATAAATAACGTCTGGATTCCTATCATCATGCTCTCTAGATTTACACTAACAAAAAGTACTATAGTTTACTTAAAGCAATATGAGCTGCATTTTGGAGAAATTAATTTTATTGTTAAAATATTTTATTATGATAAATCTGTATGTAATTTAAACCACTATGTTTAATCAGACTGGTATAAAGAATTATTTTTGTTTTCAGAAAAAAAGATTTCTAACAAGGGATTTATAGTATTATATAAGAAAGCAATATTGTACAGGACGACAATAATGTAATTTCGCTTCAATAAAAGCATATAAATAGTTCTCCTGTCTGTATTATAATTAATAAAGTTTATGAATGTTCTTTTTTCTGTCATTTAAAAAATTAATTACAATATTGCAACAAAAATTTTCGACATCAAACTTGCAGGTCATATTACTTAAGTAAATCAAAGTTTCCACAACCAGTTAAACATATTTTTCTTTTAATTTACTATGAATTTCAGATAGATTAATTTTACCCTTTAAACTTCTTATAAATAATTTCTGCTATTTAAATGAACTGTTACTTGTATATTTAGATATTTTTCAAAAAAATTACATCATTGATATGCAGTTTTCTATATATTCAGGCTCTTAATTAAAAAATCTAGATTAAAGTTGCAGAGTAAATCATCAAATTATCAAAGTATTCACTATAGTTAACTAAAGTAAACTATAGTTAACTATAGTAAATTTTTGTTAGGATATTTATCAATATATTGATATAATATAATTATATAGATTTTATAATAAATATCATAAATATAAATTTATCATTACAATTACTTATCTTTCTAGGGAACGCCTACAAAGACTGACAAATCTCATTGATAGTGGAGATACTTGAGGCCACAGAACCCTGTTTTGATTTTACGAGTTGTTGTTCTTTGAAAGTTTTTTTTTGGCCAGTATATTGATGATTGCATCCAAATGATGAACAATAAACGGCATTTATATAACGTAGAAAACATTTAAAACACTAAATTTAGGCTTCATTAATAGAAAAATTGCTAATTTGACAGAAAAAAGGCCCGTGTGCCTCGACTCCTTGACGCTAACCTGTAGACTGGTCCGATTTATAGAAAAAAATTCTTCCAATGGCAAATAATTATTATTTAGTCCAGCATAGTTTTTTAAAACCTATTTTGAGTATGCTGAATGCGAAAAAATATGCTATCCTTCATGAAAATGGCGTTAAAAAGGTCAATCATTTTAATGGTTGCAATACACTCGGTGAGATATTTACACATTCTTTTTCCTATTTGAACGATATAAAAAGAAAATTTAAAAAAAATTGATGTCCGCCATTTTCAATCCCATTTTCATGAAGGTCAGCATATTTTTTTTTTTCGGATTCAGCATACTCGAAATAGGTTATTAACTTATACTGGACCTAATCATAATTATTTGTCGCTAAAACTTATTTCTAGCCTTCTTTTTTTTCAATTATGACAAGAATACTGTGGGTGTTTGTTTTTAAAATTTTGATTATTTTCCCCAATTTAGAGCCACTTTGGCTCATCCAAAACTGCAACTATAGACTCCTGAACCATTAATTTAAAGAAGATTAGCTTCTTAATGTAATCATGACAACAATTTGCCTGCTGAATGAATAATACATCTATTAATTTTCAAATGTGTAATCTCCCATCCATGATCCGCCCAGGTGTAAAAACAAGTGCTATGGGGCTATGGATTCCTAAATTTAGTAGAATGACCATGGGAATATAGTATACTTATTATCCATTGGTTTATAGGAAGACTTTCAAAGAATTTAAGGAATTACTGTCTAGTTAGTTGGGTATCCCACACGTTGGATGTGACAGGTCGTCGGGAATACTTATTCCTCCATGGCACCTAATCCCATCTCTGATGTTTTAAGTCCATATGTTTGCTCTGCTCCCGGTTTGAATTGTTTCTTCGAACTTTTGAGCTTGAATACTGTAAACCAACTTTTATTCGCAGCGACTTTATTTCGCGATTTACCAGGAGTAAAGTAGTTCGCAACGATTAATTTTCGCGATCAAGCCTTTTTTGGAACTGTTTCAAAAGAAAAAGAGACTTTAAGGACCTGTTCGCGGCGAGAAAAATTCGCGATGACGAGGCTCTCGCGAACCTTGCAAAAATTTCTCGCACGCGAATAAAAGTTGGTTTACATTATACTGTTTACTGTCTCCATATTTCATTTTCTATCTATTCATATCTTGCTCTGCGTTATTTTTGAGATGAAGTTTATTTTCACACTTTATGAACATTTTGACCCTGTCGCTAATGCCATAGTGCTGATTTTTTTTCTGTCAACACCCACTGCGAAATAGGACCTGGATCCATACAATCTCACCTAAAGGACTCTCAGTGGGATCCAAACCCGATATAGGATCAACCCCGTACTTTAAAGCAAACGATCTAACTATTGCGTCACACGGGTGACTTTTGTCTTAATCATTTAATTGGTTTATGGGCCAGGCTGTTAAATCTGACTCCTTTTAAAGAAATCTGAGGGATAGTGCTTAATCGTATATATACTGACACGCAAAAGAAACGCAACAAGCAGTAAATTAAAAATGTTTGAAATTTTTTATCTAATGATTTTCAAAAATGAAACAGTAAGGCTTAACTCACCATTCAAAACATCCGAGATTTGATAAAAATTTCAAATGATTATCTTTTATCTTTAGAAATCAAGATATGACCAATAAAACACCCCCTTCCAGCCATTCAATTAAAACGTGCAAGACTGTCCTGCACAACATTTGCAGCTTAATTTCTACGATACAGTAGGTTCATCAATATCGAGATGGTCGAATTTTCTCTAACCTAGCGCATTGTAGTAACCTTGGTCTTCCGTCCCAAGTTCTGTCATTAATGATCATGATACGTAAGAGCCTATTGACGCGTAATGTAGTGAATCTTTGCATCAGCAACTCTCCATCACCTTTATTTTGATATTTTCTCGCGACAGCAATGAAAATGCGTACCTAAGTCATTTTCAGGAAGCCTTAGCATCGCTAGAGGAAAACAAAGTAAAATTTATTTTTTCAAATATTTCTGCATTACTTGTGATGAACAGCTATAAACCCTTAAAACTCCAAAATATTGCCAGTTGTTTTGTTAGACATGCAATTTTTTATTTCAAGCAGACTCAAACTTGACTTCCGGTAATGTTGTGAGAGTCGTTCAACCGTGAAATTACCGATGTTTACAAAATTGAACATATCCATATTTTTTTAGATAAGAAATTCTTTACTATATATAATTATTTCCCCCTAAAGTAGGGTGTTGCGTTTCTTTTGCGTGTCAGTATATACGAACTGATGTTTGAACGTCGGAACCTTTTCCAAAGCATAGGCTTCTCTCGCCTCCAACAGGTAGCGCTATAAATCGTGAGGATTCGATCCTGCTTTACTTGTGTCCTTAAGAATATAAGACGCAGTTACTTTAATTCAAAAGATGAACTTTGGGGCTCCGGTGTATATATATTTAAGATATGAACGGGAAATTATATTTAAATCATCTTGATCCTTCCAGTTAAGAGGGAAGTATAAATGTAAGATACATAAGAATTTCAACTTTTCATCGCCTTTATTATGCATCATATTGACCAGTAGTAAAACCTTGCACAATGTTGTGATAAAAAAATAACTCGACTCTAGCCACACCTGGTATTTGAAAACACTATCAGATTAGATTGACCGGTATTATAACCTTACACTGTCATTTGATCAAAATTATCAATGCTCTACCACAAATCAACTATTGGAACGTACTGTCAACTGCCAATGTTACAGTTAAACCACATACTAGTACCTGGTACTTCTAGTACTTCGATAAGTATCTCCAACATGGTAAATATTGGCTACGTATTCTTATCTTTAATACCAGGTACTTAATATGTTGTTTAACTGTAAAATTGGCAGTTAATAATTTGTTTTAATAGATTATATGTGGTCGATAGATAATTTTGATCAAATGACAGTTTATGCAGACAATATTTTTGGCATTCGTATTACAAGATTGCAAAGAAATATTTTTTTAATCAAGCTTTCAGGTCCATCTAAACAGTACAATAGGATCAGAGCATAGACCTTTAAAATCATGAGAGGCAGAATCTGATGCCAAGGAGAAGTAAATATTCTCTGTCGACCCTCAGACCACTGTGTACTTTGGTCTTGATTTTAGTGATCTTGCTTACGTGATCTGGAATCTTAATTATCACTGTCAGTTAATGTTACGGACAACATTCAAGGTTTGATATTCCAGTGAAATGTTTCAGAGGTATATAGCTTTGATAAACCTTGCAACCAACATATTACAATTCATTGCAGCCGATGGTTTCATATTTTAAAATGAATTCAAAATCTTTTTGACTTTGAACTCTCGAATTTTGTGCTTTGCAAGCCGTATGGCTTTAATGTCTATATAAAGTCTTCCAAAAACTATTAATTAACTACATTACCAAAAATTCTACGTGATTTATTTTAGCTCAAAACGCCGAAATCAAAATATGATGTTGCTATGCATGGTCCTGACGGTAATACTATTGGCCACCGGTGGATGTAGAATACGTTAAATTACATGTGAAATGCCTGACTTTTTTCACACTTGGGTGGTGTTGTTGAAATTGGCTAGGTGGAGAATGGCAGCTAAGACATATGTATATACATGCATTAGATACATTGTAACTAGTGTGTGCAAAAGATTAGGACTTAGGTTTGTAAAGTCTTTCCATTTGTACCGGTCTTTACTGATTGTTAAACTTAATCAACTACAGACTTTTAAAACAAATTAGGGCGTGTCTTAGCTATCCTTCACTTGACGGAAAACCCTGAACAAGATTTTTTGATCCGCCTACAAGTGTTCTGTAACCGCGCGCTCTGTCCGCTCCTAGTAGCCCGCGGTCACGACTGAGCAGGTCAATCGCACGGTCGATTTATAGCAATGTTTTGTCGTAACAAGTGATCTAGAGTACAAGTATGCGTTCACAAAATACAGTTATATAAATATTAAAATGTATAATTGATATACTCACAAGAATGAATTAATTTTGAGCTTTATACCAGTACATACATGAATAACATACTATTACATTTATTTGTAGTGCATTACAGATTTCTTTCTCGCTTCAAAATTCCTAAGGAATGGTGGAAACGTATATAAAATAACATTTACATGTATTCAAAAAAATTACCTCATGGTGAAATAGCTTCCTTCATCAACCTGGGTATGAAGATTAGCTCCAACCTGCTTTGCCAATAAACTACCTATATCTTTGCTCCAAAATGATTTGCCGGAAATACTTTCAACTGACTATTTACAGCGCGATATACCTGTATACAGGTAATCTTATGTAAGCAAAAACAAACCGGAAGATTTATCTTGCATATGATCGCAGCATTAGGAGGAAAATGTTTCCCGAATAAAAAGAAAGATAGAGGGGAGTGTCTTTATGACCTTCGCTGTGCTAAGTTTTATTTAAAGTGTTTCAAGAAATTATTAGCTTAAAAGTTAAATAGTTGAACATACATGTATTGTTATTTTGTACTCAGTCAAAAAGAAAATACATGCTCACTAAAAAAGGCAAATCTTTGACTAGAGCACAATAAATACTGATAATAATTCAACATATTATTCTAAATTAAAGTAGTACAAAAAAGGTTGATGAAGAATTCACTGTAAAAGTAAATTTAAGATCTGAAAATTTTCTAAAAGAAAACGAAAGAAGATATATGAATAAACCATTAAGATTTGTATTCGAAATCTAAAGAAGGGAATTGTGGAGGACCAGTCAGATTTACAAATAAGATGAAAACATCATAGAAATAGTAATATGTGAAAACATGAATCAATAACTTAATCATTTAATATGTTACATGTATTGCTCTCCGTCAAATACCCATCTGCTTGAAAATATTCATTTCAAAATAGAATGTATAAATCAGGAAGCTACAATAAAATATATGGAGAAAACGAATGGTATTCAAGCTCATAATTCCATAAAACAATACGAAATAGGAGCAGAGCAAACACTGACCTCCAAAACATCTGAGGTGGGATCAGGTGCCATGGAGGAGTGAGCATCCACACCCGCCGTGTGCTCCTTGTCATGATTAGAAAATAACAGAAAAAAGTCTATTTTGTATGTACATAATGGCCTAACAATAAGTATGAGTAAAGTTAGTCAGCATTTGACTCAATAATAAATTATATTTGCTTACAAGGTCATCGCATTGACCATGAACTTACGAAATGATGACTTTCAACGAGACCCCTGATATTCTTGTTTCATCAACTTTTTTGTCAGTAATTTACCTCGTTTTAGAAATTGTAAATACGTAGAGCATGCTCTTGCGTATCGAATCAACTAAGAGATATAAACTCCGTATGCAGGTGATGAAGGTAGATTGCAGCATAAGTAAGGGAAGTTGGCGATTGAAAATCTGCTTCATATGATTACAAAAATAGGTCTATTAATAAATCAGTATTAAATATATAACTATTGAATTCTTTACAGAGTGGTTAAACAGAAAAATGTGCTCCATATGAAAACGAAAATAGGCCTATAAATAAATCAGAATTAAATGTATAACTATTGAATTCTTAACAGAGTGGTTAAACAAAGGGATTATCCAAGTTCTACGTATCAATACATGTATAAGTATAACGAACAGTAATCATGCTAAAAATTTCAGTTAATACAAATCAGTAACAGAGCAAACATGGACTTCTAAAACATCAGAAGTGGGATAAGGTGCCACGGAGGAGTCAATATCGACTGGTCTTATCCGCTAACAGCTCACTTTCATGATCGAGAAAAAAAAACGGGGGGAAATCAGTGACGATTCAGTGTGGCCTAACAAATAGTATACAAAATCTTCAGTCAGCATTGTGTCAAATGATATATTGAATTTGATGACAAGTAAGGACACATTATCGATTTTATACGACACTCTTGATAATCTTGACTGCTTTATCAATTTATTTTTCAGTAGCTTGCCTCATTTTAGAAATTGTATGTTAGTAGAGCGTATTATTGCGTATGTACTCAACTAGGGGGAAAAACTCAATTACAGGTAATAAAGGTATATTAGCCCCTTCACGATAACTGCGGTACTACTCTTTTGCAGGGCAAATTAATAACGTTTGGCGAAGTTTTTGTTGGTAGATATTTAAATGATGCATATGTAGCAATTACTTTTACGTTATATTTTACCAAAATATATCATTTGCCCTGCAAAAGAGTAATACCGCAGTTATCATAAAGGGGTCTATTGCCACATGTGTAAGGGAAGTTGGCACTAGAAAAGTCAGCATCATCACGTCTATTATAAATTGGCATAATATGTATTCTACCGGTGTTTAAATATCCTCAAAGTACTTAAGTTTGAAAAAAGGATAATTCATTGATTACATCTTCGCTAGCCAAGGGTTTCTAATACCCTACTCTCCTCATGAGAAACCCTTGGCTAGCGAAGATGCATCAATTTTGATTATTTCAATGCTTAGAGGACACGCATATAAAAATACTGAGTATTGAAAATACAAGTAATACTAGAAGTTATCTTTCCTTGCCCTTCAGTCAGGTTTATATCTTTACCTCAATTTCAAATAAGTACATGTATATGTATTTTGATTTTCACTTCTTTTTGGTTATAAATGATCAGAAGATGCTATGTTCAAGCACAATTTGCTAGAATTCTCATGGATACAAGTTGGATCCCTTTATTAGCAGACCTTATATCGTATTCATATGAAGCAGAATTTAAAAAAAACTGTTCAATGAGAATAATATAAAACTTGCCGGGGCCTTCAATTCGGTGTATTACAAATTAACAATAGTTACTTACAATCACTCAATATATCCCATATAATATGAGCTTGAAATAAAAGATACCAAGGAGTCTCATTTCCCTTTCATATTTGGACATATTTTTTTTTATAGAAAAAGACGTTAATGCTAATATATCAACAAAACTTTACGATAAACGTGATGACTTCAACTTTGCTGTCGTCAACTTCCCTTATGCAGCAATTTACATGCACATTTATCACCTGCATGTTGGTATTATTTCTCCCAGATGATACACAAGAGCATTTTTAAGTATAAACAGTTTATAATGTAAGAAAGTTGCTGAAACAAAACTTAAGTCATCACCAGCAAATAAAGTCTATCGAATGCTGACTGCCGTTTTGAATTTCGTACTAATTTTTAGGCCATTAGGCCCTATGTACACTCTGAATTACTTAAAGATTTTCCCATTTTTTCTGATCATGACAATGAGCACAAGTCGGGTGTTAACGGTCAAAAGGGAATTCTTACTCCTCTATTGCACCTGATCCCACCTCTGATGTTGTAGAGGCGGTGTTTCCTCTAGCTGCTCCCAAAATATTTTGTTTGACTTTGAATCTTTATTACTGTCTTTGATCTCCTATATCATTACTTTAAAATAACAGTTACTTTTCATCAGTTTTTAAACATTTCAGTGAGGAAAAAAGTTTTTAAAATATCAACTTTTAAAAATCAGTACCTTAATCCTTTCATAATCAGCGGAATTACTTGCACAAAATCTTAGAAAAAAAAGTTTAATTAATAAATAATAGTTTTTTATTCATCTGTCGACAAGACATATCCCAGATTAAAGACACAATAGAGTCTGCAATATCTGTTTCATAAATGAATGTTTTACTGACTATGGAAGATAAAGGCCAATTTTAAACAACTAAATTGTATAGCAAACCAGATGACTTAATTTTTCCATTGTCAACTTTTCTAATTTATATAGGTAGTAATTTTTCACTAACCTGCTTATGGCGTTTTTGTCACCAAACTAGTTCACCACTCAAGAAGTTGCTCTTTTCTAAACGATCGAGGCATGCTACTAACTGAAAAATTGATGTTACAGGGCTTTCAACAACCTCATTAAAAGTCAACATTTCGTAAATTCTATGGTCGTGATAATAACTTTGTTTGCAAATATAACATCATTTGGCTGACTTGTTCCAAACCAATTGTTTGCGATTTGTTTTTATATAACGAATTTGATTGAAAGTGCACTCTACCTTATCAATATATTGGACTCACGGGGATGTGACCAGTCAACAGGGGGATTCTTTCTCCGCTTTATCACGTGTTCTTACCTCTGTAATTTCCAGGGTTCCGTGTTTTATGCCCTCTTAAGTTACAAGTTATAACTTAACTTATAACATATTTGTATTGTTTATAGATTGATTAAAGGAGATTGATCATCGTTCAATATTTTCACCTTTTACATTCCTCATTCTTCTTTGTTAAAGATTTTACAAATGGAAATGATGTCTCCCAGTTGATTCAATACGCAAGAGAATACTCTACGAACAAGTAATATCTGAAACGAGGCAGGTTATGGATAAACAATAAGAATCAACAAGAATATCAGAAGCCTCGTTTCATGAATATTTGTTGGGACTTAAAAAAATTAACAAAAAATGCTACTTACCTCTGCGCAGAGGTCATGTGGAGGGAAGCTGTCAAATATTTCTTTTTATTTCAGGTTATTCATATTCAATGAAGGTTGATTTTCCTGTAATATGAAATATAAAATGATATATAAGAAGTGTAATATGTACTGTGGGATCTCCAGTATATTGAGACCCGCAAATGAAGCACAATACTTCAAAGAGTCAGCATTAAGCACATTCTTTGGACCATGATGTCCTTTTCAGCAAATGCAGTCTATCAAGATTGAGAGCGAATGTTGACGGACGTGATTCGTACAAATTGTTAGGCCATAGATTATTTTCATATTGAATTGTCTACGGATTTTTATATGTTACCCTATCATAATGATGAAGGAGCATGTGGCAAATGTGACAGGTCGATCGCCTAATAGTCGAGGTAATCAAATCAATTTGTTTTGCTTTTGATCAAAACGCCAAGAAAAATAAGATTTTTTCTAATTATATTTCCATTAAACGTATTAAAAGGGTAGGTCGGATGACTAACGCTTCTAGAAAACTTTTTTGAAAATGTTATGCAAGAGTGGTGTTCAACTGGCATTGTTGACCTGACCTTGACTTGCGTCCATGATCAGCTCCATTGGTTCAGTACACTATAAAAGGTCCAACCCTTACTTCCTACCAATTACTTAAAGTAATTTACTTTATCTGATCGACGGAAATGAGAACGTTTTCTTTAATTCCATTTAAATTTCACTTTTAATATCTGTGTTTATGAATTAACCACTAGTAATTGATGGGAAACAAAACTCGAAATACTTCATAACATCTTACATGTATATAAAAAAAAAGTTTAACTCTTACGGCTCAGAACAAATTTATTGCTGTTTGCTGTTCATTTCTCCTCTTCAGAATGGTATGGAAAGCTTTTCTCTTAAGTTTTATTTTAGAAAACTTTGCTATAGCAGCAAACATCACGGACATTGAAAACTTGTATTCTGATTTGATTTTATACTCGCCAACCCCAGAGTTGTTGAAAAATATTCGTCCATCCGAGAAAACAGTTGTAACAGGATCCCTGCGATTGTTGTCAATCAGCGGCTTAGACGAAATTTCAGGGACGTTGTCGGTGATCGTTACATTAACCTTAACATGGCGAGACAAACGTTTAAGATGGGTCCCTTCTATGTACGGCAATCTCAAGTCCATGGAAATTCCTCAGGACAAAGTCTGGACACCTTCGATAATGATGAGGTATCCTGTTAAGAAGGTGAAGAAGTTGGGCATGGAGGACAATATAGTTACTATTTCCAGGAACGGGACAGTCGCTCTACATATTGGGGACTACTTAGAAACGGCCTGCAGTTTTGACGTAACACATTTTCCATTTGATCACCAGAGTTGTGATATTACATTACTACCATGGATTTACTCCAGAGATGCAGTGGATTTTCGACAAAAACGAGATGATATTGATCTTGGTGTATTCTCCAAAAGTGGTATGTGGGAAATCAAGAGCACAGAAGCATCGGTTGAATACATTCTGATTTCGGATAATACCGAGTGTGCGGTGTTAAAGTATACGATAGAGCTGGAAAGAAGATCGTCATATTTCGTTCTAACGATATTCGTACCTGTCATCATGCTTCTTCTGTTGAATTCCATTGTGTTTCTTCTTCCCTCGGAGAGCGGAGAACGTGTGGGTTACGCTATAACGTGTCTGCTAGCATTAGCCGTCTTTCTGACGCTAACGGATGACGTGTTACCTAGAACCTCCAAACCGTTGTCAGTGCTGTCCTGTTTCCTGATGCTTCTCGTGTTAACGTCTGCTGTTATTTGTCTGACAACAATTATAAGTGTCTGGTTGCATCACAAGGACGACAAATCACACATGCCATTGTATCTAAAGAAGTTCACTCACTTCATGCTCTGTAGGAATCATAAAACTAACACAGCTGAGTTTGAAATCGTTGATATTCTGACAGAGCCGCCAAAAAACAAAAAGAGTAACTCTCAATTTGATACCGTGACAAGTTTCAAAAATCATAAACCAGAATTCGAAGGTGAAAATACAAGGAATGTAACCAAGCTAAGCATGCGCAATTCAAAAAGAGAGATTAAAACAAAGTCCTCAGACGGTACACTGCACGTGACGCTCAAAAGGAAAAAGGAACATGGCACTGACGAGAAACACTTTAAGAACCCAGAAGATTTGGATGATCTCTACACTGACATTACATGGAAAACATTCTCAGAACTGTTCAATTTTCTGTGTCTTGTTGGGACAGTTGCATTTACAGCTTTGTTTGGATCAATATATGTTCTGATTGCAGGTGGAAATCTTTGAGATAAAAAATGCATCAATTCAAATGCTGCAATGTACAATTGTCCATTTCTCTCAAACCGTTAAAAAGTTTTCATTTTCAGAAGCTTCCCACTTGGACTACAGAACATAAAACATATACAGAGTGTTTCACAAAACACATTACATTTTTAAATCTGAATACTTTAATTTTTCCTATCATAAGTAAGGAGTTGATCCTTAGACCGTGGGTCCGAATCCCACTGTGGACCGGTCCTTCGGATGAGACTGTTTAAACCGAGGTCCCGAGTCGCAGAAAGTGCTGGCACGAAAAAGATTCCTCACTGCTCAATGGCCGTAAGTGTCAAGTATAGGACAAAATTGCAGCTCTCCATCGGCATGTGGTGGCGTCTCCATATGGAGGAGGAATTTTTGAGGGGGATTAAACTATACTTATTGAACGGTCTTGGCACAATGAATACCCATGTGAAGTACGAGTATGATAGCCCTGACACACTGTTCAAAAGATATGGCCATGGTTAAAGTGTTTTTGGTAAAAGTGGGTAAAACTCCAAGGTCAGGGTCAAGAGGTTAAATTTGGTAGAAACAAAAGTCTTAGCACAAGGAATACACCTGTGAAATATGAAAGCCATAGCCCCGCCCATTCAGAAATTATGGGAAAGGTGAAAGTTTTTGCGGACAGTCAGACAGATAAACAGACAGATAGAAAAACAAATTGACGGACAGGGCAAAAACTACGTACCCGCGATTCTTCGATTAAAGGCGTTTAATTTAGGAATTCTTCGTATTTAAGAGTCCAAATGAGTCTAAATGCCCAGGAAGATTCGATTGAATTCCACTTTGGTGTTCATCTGCGAAAGAAGCGTAGAAATCGTGACAAAAGTGAAAACAAATTGATTTGGGTAATACTAGCTGCGGATCTGTAGCTCTCCCAAAAAATATATTGATAGTCCGGAGAGCTACAGTGCCACCCATTGAAAAAACTATGTATTTATTGCGCACAAAAAAGTGCGCTCGGTTCTCGATTTATTTCTCCATGTTTTTAAACTGTGATCTCAAAACATTACTAACGGTGTGTTCCGCACATATTCTTTCGCTGTTTCCACAACCAAACATTCCTCATAATTGTTGTTAGTAGTCCTCCTGACCCTGATATTGTAATCATAGAACATTTCGCTTATTTATACTGTCATTTTGGTTTCAAAGATAATTCGGTCCAATATGCTTCGTTCAGATGTCAACTACGAGAGTACTTGATAGATGAGAAAGTGATGTTTAAAATTTCCCTTTTTAGCAATTGAGGTAAGAATTTGAAAGAATCAATTAAGAACCGAGCGCACTTTTTTGTGCGCAATAAAGATACAGTTTTTTCAATGGGTGGCAATGTAGCTCTCCGATCTATCAATATTTTTTTTCGGAGAGCTACAGATCTGCAGTTAGGTACGTTTGTTTTTCCCTCTTTTAAAAGATTTAAAATTCCTTTCATTGACACGCTACCTGTACAGTATTTTGTTGACACATTAATAAAAGTTTTCTTGCGTGGACGATGTATTATTTTTACAGCGTTTAAAGATTTGTCATTGCGAACTAGAATTACATCCTTTGAAAAAACAGATTAGAGACAATGTTCCATTAGATTTCTGATATGTCTGGTTGCTCATTCAAAATTCAACAGTAAACAGGTGAAGTCTGCCGAATGATGCAAGTCGGACGCAAGGGTAATTAATTTTAATAAAAAGTTTTATACTGAAGAAAACCAATTAAAAAACTCAAAGCATTCACCTGTCGAATTCTATTTATAAACCTTAATTAGATAATTTATTTTTATTAAAACTCAATGCATCTGACCAAAAAAGGGAGGGGTTTCCTAGCGGCAGCGACTGGAATCAAGGGCAGAGAACCAGTGCTAAGGGGTAATATAGCGATATCCGGAAGCTTCTGCTTAAATCCATTTGCTGTAATACGTGATCATTGTCCATTGTTTTGATACTGTTGCTTTATTATGCTATAATTACCTTATAATGTTTTAGAAAAATTAAGCCTTTGTGATTTTGGAAACATCGTCATACTTATGGAACCGATCGACACGGTTAAAATAAAAATTATAAAAAATAAAATTATTTTTAACAGCGACGTCAACGGACGGAAAATTAGGTTTTACACTTCCAGTGACATATGTTACCCCAAAACATGTCAAGAACGGCCAAAATATGGTAGAGTCTATAACATCTACCCAAAAATATGCATTTTCGGACTACTTCCGGTTTGAGCACATATATATTTGTAACATTATATTATTGTATGTATTGTATAATAAACATTATTAAGTATTCCTTTTGTAGTATGTTTTGCTTAAAATAATACATGTCTTGAACTTGATTTGGCTACTTCTATCTAGTACGTCCTTCCATCTGTATCGTGTTGAAAATGAAAAGTGTATAATTACATGTACTTGATATTTACAGAGCGCTGTTTATGTCCTGTCGATTGATTTTTATCTGCTATAATAGATTAAATTCAATTTTATAAAATGTATTGAAACTGGTTTATTTAAATTCCTTTGTGTGAAATACCTCAGCTATATTGTCTGTTTTTAAATGGATTCTATAATCTAGATATTTGATCTCTTATGTACATAAGTAATGATACTTTTTTTTTCAGGAACTGTTTAGAGACGCTTAATTCATTATTTTTTCGCTTTTTCACTAGAGAAGAAGGTCATGATTTTGAGAGTTCTTGTGTTATCTCTGATTTTGTTAGGTGTTGGGGAGGCTGCTAACAGAACAGACATCGAGAATCTGTACACCAAACTCGTACTGAGCGGAACAACCCCGCAGCTATTGACGGACGTTCGCCCTTCCCTGTACACGGAGTTGCTAGGTTCTTTGAATCTTTTGTCTATCAATGGTTTAGATGAGGTCTCAGGAACGTTTTCTACCATGGTCAGTCTAGCTTTGACTTGGGAAGACGATCGACTAGCATGGAATTCTCTGGATTACAACAACCTAACAAAAATCGTGATACCCCAAAGTTCTGTGTGGACGCCATCAATGATTATGAGAAATTCTGCAACTAAGGTGAAGAAGATAGGGGTAGAAGAAAACGTTGTCACAATAACCAGTGATGGCTATGTGACTCTAAATATTGGTGATTTTCTAGAGACGGTCTGCAGTTTTGACGTAACCCATTTCCCCTTTGATCATCAAAAATGTGAAATTTTGTTCATCCCTTGGATTTACACCAAAGATTTGGTTGGACTTAGGCAAAAAGCAGATGACGTTGACTTGAATTTATATTCATCAAATGGGATGTGGAGAATTACGAGTACCACAGCGTCCGTAAACTACATCGTGACGACAAGTGTAGATAACGTCTTCGCTGAATTGAAATATACGATTTATCTAGAACGAAGGTCGTCGTATTTTGTTCTCAGTATATTCATTCCTGTAATTATGCTCCTCCTTCTGAATTCCATGGTCTTTATCCTGCCAACAGACAGCGGGGAACGTGTGGGTTACTCGGTCACGTGCTTGCTGGCTCTGGCCGTCTTTTTGACGCTGACTGCGGACGTTTTGCCGAAGACTTCGGAGCCCTTATCCGTTTTGTCCTGCTTTATGATGCTGCTGGTGTTGACGTCTGCTGTTATTTGTCTGACCACAATAATAAGTGTTTGGCTGCATCACAAACCCGATGACTCTCCGATGCCCTTGTATCTGAAAAAGTTTACTTTTCTTATGCTGTGTAAAGGCCGTAAAATTCAAAACACAGACGATACCTCTGAAAGAACTATTGTGTCCGTCGAAACGCCAAAATTGAAAACGAACGATTTTAAAGGAGTTGTTCGTCATGCAACTGTGAAGAAAACACAGACGAAAGAAATAAATAAGCCCCCTCTGAAACCGATTAAAAGGAAAGGGGATGATAAACAACCCTTAGAGAATACAAAGGAGGAAGATCCGTACTCTGATATTACTTGGAAAAAGTTTTCAGAATTGTTCAACTTCATCTGTCTTGTTGCGACGCTTTCCTTTACTGGATTATTAGGCTTTTTGTATGTACTAATCGCGAGGGGAAATCTCTGACACTGTAACAAATTTTACCATTTTTGGAGGAGGCATGTTTATATTGTCCTTTCTGACATAATTTATTTTATCAAATAAACTCTGCAATATGACTAAAAATAGTCATATTGCAGAGTTTATTTGATAAAATAAATTATGTCAGAAAGGACAATATAAACATCTGCAATATGACTATTTTTAGTCATATTGCAGAGTTTATTTGATAAAATAAATTATGTCAGAAAGGACAATATTTTGAAAGCAAGTTATTAATAGGTGATTGCATTCATCATGAATACATGCAGCGTAAAATCATAAATTTTTTAATGTTCATTTTTTTCATGCGATTGATACTCTATTCATGTATATCATATTTTAACAGTTATCTTTTTATTCATTAATTAATTGATGTATTTTTTGTCAATGCTTGCTTACTTATTTAATTCATATTTAGCAATACATTGGCAAAATACAGGTAAATTCTAGTAAAATGCCGACAATATATAAGACAAAATTGCATATGCACTATTTAAGAAAATTATATGTTAATTTTCTAAGTTGGTTATGACGTATTTGGCGTTCATCAATGTTACTTAAGAAAAAAAAATGAAAGTTGATGAATAGCTACATTGTAAACGATAATGATATCTTCGCTAGCCTATGTTTTCTGAAATGCTACTTTCTTCATAAACCATTGACCTATGGTACTGTCAAAAGAAGGGGTTGTTTTCGTCAAGTGATCTCGACTTTTAACAGGTACGCACAAAATTAAATAACGTATCTGAAAGTTTTAAAAGAATTATGAACACGAAGGTATTGATTTATGTTCGTATTTTTATTTAAAGCGCAAATCTATATCCTCAATATGGATTCTTAACCATATTTTCCACGTAACTTAAGGTATTGAATGACACCTCTATTCATGGAATAGCATGTGGTCGTTGTTTACTTGCGTTTTTCATTCTCGAGAGAAAAGAGTCAAATTATGTCCCAAATGCAGATATTGTCATTTACAAAAAAGAATTGCAGATTGTCGATCGATGTCGATCCACTCCAATCACAACTTGAGAAAAAATCCCAACATTTCTAAATGCCCTATGCTTCGGGTTCATGCAGAGACTAGCATATCAGAAACCCTTGGGTAGCGAAGATGCGTTACTTAAGCGTAACCATTTTGTGAAAAAATAAAAATTTTGTTCGTGTATTTAACTTCTGTTGCAACCCCATGGTCTGCCATTTGAAATAATCAACTTCATATCTGACAAAAAAAAACAACAACAAAAAAAAAAAAAAACGGTGCGCAGTGCAATTTTTTTTCTCTCTAGATATTCTAGTACTAATTTGATGAATGTTTAATTTAAATAAAAGAATAGTATGTGATGCGTTAGCAATTTTATATGATGTATGAAAAACAGAAAAATATATATAAGAAATTATGTTATTGCCAAGGATTATATTCATGTATAAAACACGGAACCTGGCATTGTGGATTTTTTTGTCTTTGATATATATTTAACACATATCATTTATTCATTATTTTGTTGAAGAAGAAATAGAAATTTCCTGGTTTCTAAGAATTTTTGTTTTATTTTCTTTTACCCCGGTACCTTGATCTATGTGCCTAATGATGATATGTACCTATGCAATTGTTTATATTTTTCACTATTCAATAAAGTTCAAAAACAAAGCTGAACTCTTGTAACTCACTACATGTAAGGCAGTGTGATATAATTGCATTGTTTGTCTGACGCTTACATAACACACTCTCATGATTATTCAATAGTCACTGATCTTGTTTGTTTATTGTTTACATATTCCAGCCAATGGTTAAAGAGAATGCTAATTTGTAGATTTTATTCATTTTTGGTTATATCTTTAAACTTGATCTGCTTAGAATATTTTTAATTGTAAGATGTTATTTTTTCGTTTATTCGTCTTTTTTCTTTGTGCATCCTCGGGAGACTCTGTAACAAGAGCTGACCTTGAGAATTTGTATTCAGCGCTATTTCCGGAAACCAGTGGTAGTACCAATACTACACTAACAGAAGTAAGACCAGAGCCTTACACCGTGATACGGGGGACACTGCATCTGCTGTCCATAGCTGGACTTGACGAAGTGACCGGAACTTTCTCCACCATCATCAGTTTGTCCTTGACCTGGAACGATGGACGCTTGTCATGGAACCCTGCATCACACGCTCTTATCAATAACATAACAGTCAAACAAAATAAAGTCTGGACACCCTCAATCATTGCCAAAAATCCTGTCAAAAAGATCTCCAAACTGGGCTTGCAGGAGAGCAGTGTTGTTCTAAATGATGAGGGAGACGTCATGTTAACAATTGATGACTACCTGGAAACCGTGTGCAGTTTTGACGGAACTCATTTTCCATTCGATGTGCAGACTTGCAACATTTATTTCATGGCATGGATTTACAGGAGACACGAGATTGATTTTCGACAAACACAAGGTGACGTTGATTTGTCTTTTTACTGCGAAAACGGTATGTGGGAGATCTTGGAGTCAAAAGCAACGGTGGAATATTTTACGAAACATTCCAACAGGTATGCTACCTTAAAATATTCAGTCAAAGTGAAGAGACGACCCGGATATTTTATATTGGGTATTTATGTGCCTGTACTCATGTTGATGCTTTTGAATTCAGCTGTTTTTATTTTGCCAACGGAAAGTGGTGAGCGTGTTGGTTACGCCATTACATGTTTACTGGCTCTAGCTGTGTTTCTAACGTTAACCTCAGAAGTGTTACCGAAAACATCCAACCCGCTCTCCGTGTTCTCATGTTTTCTCATGCTTTTAGTGCTCACTTCTGCTCTTATCTGTATCATGACAATAATAAGTATATGGCTCTGTCACAAAGACGAGAATTCAGCAATGCCTGTTTGTCTTAAAAGAATCACTCGTTTTTTGTTGTGTCGAGGCCGGAAGACAGAGAATGCTGATGTGCAAGTAAATGAAAAGGATTCCCTGGCAGAGTCGGTGAAAAATTCCGAGGAAATAAAAGATATCTTGAACAAGACTCAACAGAATGGGAAAAATGTTTCACTAAAATTATCCAATACCCGTATATTGAGGGTCAAGAGTCTCGAGAAGGGGCTAATAGAAAATAAAAGTGAGAAAGACATTTACAGCGATATTGGCTGGAAACAGTTTTCAGAAGTATTTAACATGGTTTGTTTTATTTTGACAATTTCTGTGACGGGTTCCCTGGCGTTTGTTTATGTTACCGTGGCCGGAGCAAATCTGTAGGATTATATACCCTAATTTGGTGTCTAATTATAACCTTCCCCCTAATTACATAATTAATTATAACTCAGGACAATGCAATTACATGTTATTGTGCTGCCTATGGTGAGCTTTAAACATTCACACCTTCGGGCTCAGACTTGACACAACTTATGGATTAACGGATTTCAGGGATTAACATCTAGTATTGTAGTACAGTGTCTGCTGTTTTCATGATTCATTAAACAGTTTAATATATCAATAAACACTCTGTAATAATACATATGTCAAAATCAAAAAAACATGAAACGTTAGAATTTTGATACTTTATTAATTATGTACAGGTACGTCAAAATATAAGATAGTCATTTTCCATAGTGTTACGAAAATCTGAACATTTTAAAGACTTTATTCTAAAAGAAACCTGTATACATATAATGCTTTTAAAAATGTACACAGTCATTTATATATGTATGCGGGGGTGTTAGGTTGGACCTTTTAAAGGTTATTCATATTATTTAAGATATATCCTAGTTTTTAGTCTTTGACAAGCGTATTTTCATAATAAAGAAATTTTAAAAATATTTACTCCAGGAGTGCTATGTTGCTGTCATATTTACTACGTTTAAATCTTTTAGAAATTTTAAGACATTGAAATCACATCAGACAATTACTATAAAGAAAATATATATATATATTCAAATCTTTCAATTATTTAATAAATATTTACACACAAATTACAAGTATATGCTACAAACAATTTAGTAGTTTTGTATAACCAACATCACTCGCTTTAAAATTGTTTAATGCCTCTTTGTACCTTGTGTACCAATAATGTAGTTTTAGGAAATAAAAAAAAATGATTGAGATTTGCGCCGTTGGCCAGTGATGTTATAAAGTGTGTGATTGCATTTGATTTGGATTCGGCAAGGATCTGGACGCATTTGAAGAGAAATCTGGGTGCATTTGAAAAGTGTAAATTTCATCTATCCGTTACAGATATTTTAGCATTTTATTGCTTCCATTAATAAAGGGAAGGGAGATATTTTCCCCCGATATTGGGTGAAATTTATCCTTTAGTGACCAGCCGACAAAAACCCTTTTTTAAAATAAGTATTTAAGCTGAAAATTATTTGTGTTTACGATACCTGAATATTGCACTCCAAATACGTCCATTTTCTTTCGTGATACCCTGATCTGCTAGTTCCCAATAGGGTCATTTGCAAAACGTAACAGCGCGTAAGAAACAACGCGCTGGCGGAGATAACAATGCGCTAGCACATAGAGACAACGCGTTATGCGTTGTTGAAACGCAGTGGTGCTTTGTTTCTCGGTGCTAGTACGTTACCACTTGCAAGGATGCGTTAACAACGGCGCGATGGCACGAAATGACAACACACAAGCGCAAAGTGGCGTCATTTCCATTTATGCATCGTTGCACGTTTACAAGTGACAACGGACTAGTGCAAATTGATAACGCGCTGGCGCAAAGCTATGGCACGCCAAATTCACAAAAATGAGCTATACATAGTTTCACAGTCGATAAACCAAGTTTATCGGTTGTAAACTATAGTTTACGGACTGTAAACTATAGCTAACAAGTTAATCTATATTTTACATCTGTAAACCATAGTTAACGCGAAAATCTATGTTTCACAACCGTAAACTATACTTAACACCGAAAACAATCTTTTGCGATTGCAAACCATAGATTACATGTATCTGATAAATACAGTTACACGATTTGTAAACTATAGTTTACAAACCGTTAACTATAGTTATCGATCTGAGAAAAATAGTTTCACGATTTGTGAAACTATGATTAACAACTCTTAACTATAGTTTACGATTGTAAACTATAGTTTACAAACGTGAATCTATGTTTATCAACAAAATCTATTGTTAACGCTTTATTACAGACAAATAAACTTAGATTAGCATTCGTAAACTATAGTTAATGACCGTTAAATGTACTAAGTAGTTTTACAGACGAAAACTATAGTTAACGAATTGTTAACTATAGTTAACGGTCTGTAAACTATAATTTACAATCGATAAACTTAGTTAAATTATCAACTGTGAAATTATGTTTAGCTCATTTTTGTGAATTTGGCGTGCCATACAAAGCGACAATGCACCGTTGCACTACACACAACACGCCGTCAACACTAATGCAGACTATATGCTAATACACAGAAAAACGCCATTATGATTGCGCAACCTTACACAATGTATCGTGTTTTAGCGCAACGGTGTGTTGTGTAAAGATGCGTTATCGTGACGATGTGCTACGTGCTACGTGTAGCGCGATGGTGTCTTGTTCTTATAATATTACGCTTTTGCAAATGGCTCCAACAAAATACACTTTTGAGAAAGAGGAAAGCTAAAGACCTAAGGGAATGTACGGTTATAGAGATTTATTACTGAGTAAAATGAACTTTCAATTTCTTGTATTTATTGAGTAACCTGTCTCGATAAATGATAGATGTACTCTGTAGTGATTGTCCAGTTAAGGACAGATGATACAAACAAACTTATGTCCAAAAATTTGAAAATAACAACTTGAATCATGTTTGTGTAAGTAAAATGAACAAGTTTAACAGTATAGTTTTTAATTCTTCATTAAAAATTTCACAAAATGGGATTTGAAGTGACAAAAATTTATAGAGATTACCCGGTATTATGGATGGTTGCTGAAAGGGACAATTTTGAACATCATAGGTTTACAATTTCTTAAAATTCTAGAAATTTATTATTTGCATCTTTTACAACAGAAATAGGTTCCAAAATATATACCAATCCAGACATCCATTTTCTTGTCTGTATCATCGGTCCTTAAAGGCAGTCTAAATTCACGTTACTTGTACCTTCCAAATTGCTGCAAAAGTCTCGAGGGACAAACAGTAATTAAAAAGTAATTAAAGTTAAACGTGAGCAGAATATTAACGACTCGACAGGAACTTGGTGTTAACTGTTAAAGCAGACTAAAAGACAAAATGTGCTTGTGAAACACTGATGCCCCCAAATGACAGCTTATAGCGAGGGTTGAAGTTGCTACAATGTAAATGCAAGTCAAACTCAAAGGTCAAGGTCAAAATGTTGGTACCTTAAAGACGGTCTTATAGCAAGAAATACATCTAGGAAAGATGAAAGCCCTAGTACTAAATGTTCAACAGTTATAGCCAGTGTTAAAGTTTTTCTTAAGATCCAAGTCAAACTCTAAGGACAACGTCAAAAGGTAAAAAGTTATACTTATTGAAATGTCTTGTTACAATGAATGTACATGTACATGTGAAGTTTGAAATCCCTAGAATAACAGAAGTTATAATCAAGATTGAACATTGAACATTTTAGGAAAAGTCGGTCAAACTTTAAGGTCAAGAGGTCAAATTTGATGGGCACTGTGTATTGACCTGATAAGTGTAATGACCTGATTGACCTGATAGGATATAAATTACAATTTACAGTTACTTAATATAAAGGAAGAATTTAGAAAAGATCTTTTTCAAAATTGTTTATATCACTATAATATACAACCTGGTCACCTAATTTTGTAATTTAAGGTGTTATATGAGATTTATTTGATGTTTATACCATTTGAAAAAGCGTATAGAAGTGTTACTGTATACAGGTTATTTTCGCCCTTTCACATTTGCAAACAATTTTGCCCCGTTTTAAATTTGCCCACTCATAGTTTTGATTAAGAAATTATACTGTATTCTTTGAATTCGCTCCGTTTTAAATTCGACCATATGAGGATGGGGCGAAAGGGGTGAAAATAAAACAGGGGCGATAATTTCCCTGTATACAGTATCTCGTGTATTGTCCTGATGGGACTTTTCCCCCTTTAATTTACCAATGATCTGGTGGGACACTTCTAGTATACCGGTCCCCATAAATATGGCGCTAAAATAGGTGCCGCCGAAGGCGGTGTACAATATATAGACGATCGCGTGAGCGATCGACAAAATCCAAAAAGAAGCCACAAATTGCAAATTTGACCCCAAATTCGTGTTCCTTGTGAGAAATTGGGTTTAAAAAACTGGTTTTTAAACACAGTTTTTTAAATGAGAATTAAAAGATTTCGTAAAATAACGTACTTGTTTAGGAAGTAAAACTCCATCTTGCGTTGTTTATGAATGTGGTCACATGATCATTTTTTGACGTAATCTCATAAATATTCATGAGATGGTCACTTCTGTTTTGACGTAATGAAGAGATGCCTGATAGGACTCAAAGTGCAATGTTATTAAAATTGCGAGATTTTTGTGAGAAATATATGGATTTAACAAATGTTAGCTAGTTACTAGTCATTGATGGATCGCATTGTGCATCATCATCGATTTGATAGAGATATTCTGAATTTGGACATTAAGAGGTCAGGATATCGAGATGCAGTAAATGGTAAGTCACTTTTACAGTAGGGCCTAACTTGCCTAAACTTAGCACTCAAAGTCGGTCATGTTTGGACATTAGACCTAGATTGATTCATCCGAACTTGCGTTCATAAAAAAAATTCCTGTTCTTTGTATGCAAAAATTTCATGAACTAGGCCTAACCCAAAGGCAAAGTGATGGAGATCGATGTACGCCTATATCGACACGATTCGACATTAGGCTGATTCAAGTAAGTTTTTGGTCACAAAAGGCAAAAATTATATGAATTACCCCAAAGTCAGAAAGATTTCAGAGTGAATTTATAAAACAACCCCAATTTTAAAAACTATATAACCTGACCCTAATCACTCGATCGGATGCGTTTTGTTGAAGCGAGTGGGAAATTGCGGTTTGTTTACATTCTGCATAGCAACGGCAAGGGAAATAACTGCTCATGCGCAATCGCGTGTTTCTGGGGACCGGCATACTAGAAACTTCCCTTTAATATTTGGTAGTTTTGGCACGATAAGTACCCTCACTGAGTTTCGTGGGATCAAATTTAATTTCGTTTTACTTCCAAGTTGTGCACTATAACCATCATGTAACGCTGTGTTATATATGTATGTATAACGGTGCACTAAGTTCATAAATTATTTTAAGAATGAACAACAGGTGATTTAGGAAAATCGGAAAAAGCTACGTTTATTTAAGTTCCCCCTTTAAAATTAGTAGGATTCATAAAAATATTTATAGATCTAACAGAATTTTTTAATACCAACTGCAATTTATTTGAAGTATGATAATTGTTTAAAAATAGAAAGTACTTAAAATCAGAATGTTGTAGGACAATGTGTTCAGAAGTTTGTCTCCTGGGATCCTTATGAAAGTAAGGTAGTAATATTGTAGTGAAAAATAATATATACACACATTTCAATGAATATTTTGTAAAATAAAGATTAATTCTGACGCTCGGATAACACTATTGACTCGGTAATCTGTCTTCATAGTAGTGGCTAACATTTGTCCATTTTGCTGTAGCTTTTTTAATTAACTGTCTCTTTTAGTTCTGTAGTATTAATTCTAGTATCCCTGACACTTCCAATCGTGTTAAGAGGAGTCCTCTCGCTGTCAAAGCGCCTGCTTATCTCAGACTTTGTACATAATCCTATCAAATGCCTTCTGAATTTCTTCCCTGAAGCACAGTACAAAAAGAAGTTAATTGCATGGTTTGTGTACATCAGTAATTCAGTAACAGTTTTAATTAATGTGAAGATGACCACATTTTCGGCACTTTCTCCATAATCGTTCCAGAAAGCGGTCACTATAAGGGCTACATTATTTGGAAGGGTCGTCACCAGAAAGGTCATAGACACCATCAATAACATAACCGTAAATTTTCGACTGCCAACAGAATCCCTTCTTCTGCGAACGTTGTCATTTTTCAGGTAGTCATGCGTTCTCAAGAATTTTCTTTTCTTCTTTGCTTTTAAAAATTTCTGAACTATCTTTGTGTTAAGAAATACTATAATTAGGGTTGGTATGAACGAATAAAGAGCAGCATCTACCCATGGCCACGTTTTGTTGACCAAAATGTCAAACTGGTCTACAGTGTAACATAAACTTACGTTTTGAACACTCCGTAAATCCACGGTGAAGAAAAAATGTGAGTTAATGATCGAAAACAGAACAATTGGCGCGAATACCCAGACTTTGGTTAATCGTGTACAGCTAAGTACTGATTTTGTAGGTAATGGTCTGCAAACAGCAAAGAAACGTTCAGCTGTAATTGTAACGATTGTCCAGACTGAGGCATCACTGCAAACATAACCAATAAACACCACAAGCTTACACATCAATCGAGAGCCATTTCGTGGATCCACAGCCCATATCTGCCCCACCCACAATCTTAGTAACCCTACATACAGAATTAACAAATCCAGGATTGATAACACACACAGGTAAAGGTACAATGGAATCTGAACGGTGTGCTTCCTTAGGACTAGAAATGATAGTAAATTCCCAGAGGTTCCGATTATAATCAAAATAGGAGGAACTATTTGAAGAAGTTTTTTGTGAATATAGTACGGATAGTAGGTAATAAGGTCTCTTTCGTAATGGTGAAGTATCATAATGAAATTGTTCTGCAAAATAACACAAAATGAAAAGCACCCACTTCTTGATAAAGAAAACGGACAGAAAGCTGCAACAATAATCACGTGACAGCCTGACGTCATTGACAAAACTTCGTTCAAAGTGTCCATTGATCGTAGCCTAGGCATTCTAATGTTTTATTCTAAGATCTAGCTGTTACTTAAGAAAGGTTTTGTATAAATTGGATATTGTATGGTATCAAAAGATATTATAAATACAACTTCTTGACATTTGCAAAAAGTTCATGCGTTCATACATGTACATAAAGCCCGGCGATCGTTGTCATCGTTTCAGATTAATTACTCACAATTTTACCTTGATGGAAAACGGCTAATTTTTTAACAGCCTCTTTTTAAAAGAAATTTAATAGTTTAAAAATATTTATATTCATATAACTATAATTACAAAGTTAATACGCGATTATATGCTGTTCATTGAAGACTTACAATATCTTTAGTGACAATATATTTCGAAAAGCAATCAAAAATTACATTATTCATGAATTTTCAATCAAATACAACTTATTTCTTTAACAATATATTTTTTAAAAATTTTAAATCAATTTCATTTGAATTATTTTAACAACTACTGTTGAAAATGTACGTCATTCTTACATGCAAGTCTGAATTATACCAGTCTATTTATCTATCTTATTTTAAAGGAGGCTGTGCATTTATTAGTTTTCGCAATTTCTGTCCTGAAAAAAATTGATTTATTTGGAAAGATGGGATATTGATTTACCCAGCTGTTTGAGATTTAATACTTGTATTTTTTTCCGTTGATTATTGTTGTTTAGTCTCGGCTCATAAGAGAAAGACAATCCAATTGAACATTGTTACTGGAGACCAAAGGTGTCATTATCAAACTGGGGTAACGTCAAGATTAAAGGCGGAATACTGTAAGGTTTATAATTAACTCATGCTATTCAAGTCGATTTAAATACTACTTTAGACGTGTGAAAGAACACAAAAGACATACTTTTTTTCTGTTCTTATATTATAGCTTCTCCGAAATTCAATAGTCGCCCGCAGTGGTTAGAGCTTCTATTTATGAGTCGCGAATAAGGGGTTTATAGGAAGTCGCGGGTTCGAATTCCACTGTTGGACGTGGAGACCGGTCCTTTGGGTGAGACTGTGTAAACCAAGGTCCCGTGTTGCAGTAGGTGCTGTCAGGAAAAAGATCCCTCGTTGCTCAATGGCCCCAAGTGCCAAATGTAGGACAAAATTTGCAGCTCTACACCGGTAGGTGATGGTGTCTCCATACAAGTGAAAGAATCTCAAGAGGGACGTTATACAACATACAATCAATCAATCGAAATTCAGTGAAATTTTGAAGAAGTTTCATCGAAACTCTTAAAAATTTTAAGATTTAACCAAACTGTTAATGTGCATGAAAGACAAAGTACTTATTTTGAATATCCATTTTTTACACTGAGTCGTTCTCTCGCAGATCATATTAAAAGTCAAACACTGTTTCAGGGGAAAAGCTTAGAGGACGAACATTTTATGTGAAGAGTCATTCGGCATGGTTTTGTAAAATCATATTTATAAATGGGGCATTCTTCCAGCTGGTTATTCATCTGCAGAAATAAATGTATTTTGTAATTTGATAATTTAATTCGCAAAAAATTATTTTTAACAATTGAACAGAAGAAATTTTGATACAGCAAGTATTTTTTTTTTTTTTACATATAATGCCTACTTTTCAAAAATTGATTGTTGTTCTCCTTTTCCCCAGCATAAAGACACTCGCAAAGATCAGAAAGAAAACCTAAATAACAAAGTTGTAATTTATTTCTACATCATTAATTTTTGACTGCTTTGAGCAGTTTCGCTTGCAGTTTTGAAATTTGTTCCGTGTGTAGATTAATAGGTTCTCTCTGACCGGAAGTCCCATTGGCTACTGGAAATGTACGCGTCCTTAATTTGGTGATCATTAACGCTTCGTTAACATTAGTCTTCCTTCTAGTCGTGATATAGTGGGATTGGGACACATTAAATTGTTCTGCAAATTTAATCTGATGGTGTCTTTGATTTAGCAAAGAAATAATCAGACCTCATAGATATTTAATAATGAGTGGCATGTTTAAGGGTCAAATTTAATCATTTATCAGTGAGATTACAATAATGATTCAGTTCGTCTTATCGTCTAGCCACAAGTGATTCAGCATGAAAAGCTTAAAAAATAAACTACTTTTAGTTTTTAGTGCTCATTTCGAACACGTCTATTGTATTCTATTGTATATCTATTTCTAAACATTCTTTAAAGCAAATACAAGTTTACAAACACGTTTTACTATGTGCAAATTAAACTGTGTTTAAACCATATGAAGAAAATGTTATAAAATGTGATCAAGTGCTTGTTTTGTGATAAAATATATCTGAACTATATATCAACATCTGAATTAGTGTATTGTCAATTTAAGTGAACTTATAAAAGTTATTTTATCTCGTAAAACATAATTGGGAATCTGTAAATTGTTGTTTCTAGTATCTTGAGTCTCTTCTGGAATAGTCGCCACTGTGTGTACTATCGACGTCGTCCGGGGGATCATACTCAGGCATGGGGTACGAAGGACCCTCTATAGATTCAGGCCGGAAGTCGCTACCGCGCCTGTCTACACTACTACGTCTGCTCATATAAGACGGAGGCGGCAGGAGGGGATCCGAATCAGGGAAGAATGCCATGGACGCCCTAGGACTTGTTGACAAACTATCTCCCCATCTTGGGCTCATGACGGACGGGGCTATCATTGTGTCCCTGCGTGACAATGGGCTCGGAGTAAAGCCTCTCATTTCTGTGTCACTTCCTAATCTGGATCTTGAAGGACTTCGTGTTCTGTCCTCCCATCGTCCCGGGCTTCCCGAGTGGTCGTCATCCTCATCATAACGTGATGGACTCCGCCGCCTGAACTGGTCAAACCGAACTGGACTTCCGCTTCTGCTTGTTATGGACGTACGCCTGTCTGGGCGTGAATAGAAACCGGTTGTGGAAGGTTGAAGAAGATCAGATCTGAAACAATAATTTGACTTGAAAAAAATATTTCAGACACCAATGCTTTTTGTCTAACCATTGATAAAAACATACAGAGAGACCATATGGAGATATGGAAAAGTATTACCTTCCAAGCATGCTTGTTGCCAAACCAACATCGCTTAGCCTTCGACCTGGAGTTGCTCTACCACTAAGTTGACTTGTTGTTGGGTATACAGGACGAAGGTACTGTCCAGGCTGGTTGGTTGGGGGCTGTGCTGGGGTGGCTGCAGTGCCCAGCCCGGCTTGTGTTGGCTGTTCGTCTGCCTGAGAGGGAGGGACAGAAGGGGTTGCGTCTTCGTCAGACGGCACAGGAAGTTTAGCGCGGCGTCGGAAAGAACCAAGACGGTGTCTTTGCTCCCAAGCTTTCTGACGAAGTCTCTCTTCGTTTCTCTTCTTTTCCAATTCCTAGAAGTAATTTTCATCTTAAGCTTGTGATTAATTGCTTCTTACAACTTTAAATTCAAGCATTATTGCTGAAGTCCTATACATGACTTGTATATTCTTTTTTCAGTCAAGGAAAAATTTGGATATACCTCTTTACGTTGCTTATCAACGATCGACGTCACGTGATACAGAAGATCATCAATTTTGGTCTCTGTTGAATCTTTTCCCATTCCAGCGAGTGAAAGGGCGCGATCAAGAGGGAAGAAATCATAATTCTCTTTTAACAACTGGAAAAAAACAATCAAGTTTAAAAAAAAATGTTCCAAGACTGTGTATTTTATGATGAATTACTTATTTTTTCTTCTTCCTGTTCCTTCTTATATTATTTTGGGCTTTTCTGATGGACTAAACTTTTTAGTAGATTGATCGAAATTGTTCATCCTGCTGCCCTCTTTGATCAAAGTACTTACCAGTTTATGGACGTACATTTCTAATGCGGTGTAGTCATTAACTTTAGTTCCGTGAAGATGGATAAAAAAGAAGATATAGGACCACATGTTGTGTTCAAACCTAACGTGATGGTCAAATCCCTGGAAGCAAATTAGTAGATTAAAAGTCCATAAGTGTTAATGCTATTAAAATTAGGTATCTGAGTGAGCGAACCATTGCCATAGCTTTATAAAGTAATTACCTTGCCGTGGTGTTCAAAATCGTAACTGTTTCTACTGCAGATAAAGCACGTGTCCCGCATATCTGCCTCCGCTGTCCACTGTAAGGAATAAAATGTCATTATTAGTTATTTCTTTTTGAGAGAAAAATTTTAAAATTTCTTTGGCAAGTTGATATAAGTGTATCAAATACATAGTAATTTCCTTTGCAATTTTATAATAGCCGTGTACAGACTGTCCAATCTGATATTTGTACGTTTCTGTTACCTTCAGGTCCCTCAGTTCTGAGAAGGTGTCCACAATGATACCAAAAATGATGTTCAGACCAATAGTCGAGACGAAGACGAAGAAGGAGATATGGTAGATGACAACCAGCCCAAACTTATAAAACGACGCCTCCGACTTGTGGGCATTTAAATTCTACAAAGGTTGGTGATATTGTAGTTCAATAACAGAAACGGTAATAGTAACAAATTGGGACTTTTAATCGTAGAGATGCAGCACCTTGATTTGCTTATCACGGATTATTTTTTTTAAATGAAACTAAAACTTGAATTGAAAGAGGGGACCCCATATCAATTCAATTAGCCCAAGAAGATCGAAAATACTTGTAACTCTGGAGTAGTAAATTATTTTTTCGTGACACTCCTAAATTCTTGGGAATTTTAAGACTATATACGACTACACTGAACTAACGGATACCACATTCAGTCACCATTGAAAATCTCTATCGACTAACACTGTTGTTGTCCCGCAAACTCATTTTTTTTAAACAAAATGAAAATTAACAAACTTTTCTTAATCTAATGATGTAAGGAATTTTTTAAATTAATAAAGAAAATTCTGGTATTTAGTTCCCACCTCAAACATGTCCCCGATCAGTCCGTATC